CGGGGGGCCGCCGGGGCGGGGCAGCGCAGCGCTGCCGCGGGGGGAGAGCAGCGCCGGGGCCCGGCCCTGCGCCCTCCCCACGGTAAGAGCGCGGCCGGCGTTTCACACAGCGCACTGAACCTCCGTCTGCTGTCCTCTTGTGCTCTCGTTGCAGCCTTGATTAGCCTGTCCTTCGGGGGAGCCGTCGGCCTCATGTTCTTGATGCTGGGATGCGCCCTCCCCCAATACAAGTAACGTGTGCTCTGCCCGCCTTGCTCTTTGCATGCCTGTAGCTCCGGAGTGCTTTGGCTTTCAGAATGATGAGCTGTTAAGTCCTGTGTGTGTGTAGGGGAGGTTGGTTATTTTTTTTATCTCAAAATGTTGAGGTAGCAAAAAACCAAAAAGGATTTAATTCACTGCAAACTGATACAGAACACACTGTCCAGACGTGTCTCCGATGTTGTGCCTCTGCAGCTGATGAGCAGATGACAACTCCTCAAGTAGAGAGCAAGTATCTCTTGTCAGGGACTTAAGTGTTGTGGTTTTCTCTGATTGCTTAGTGGTAGCTGGGCAGTGGGGGGCTGTCCCATGGATTCCTGGCTGCTCCCAGCCCTGGTGATGCAGCATCTGAGGTAATTGCAGCTGCTGTCTTTGCTTTCAGTCTGTTGATTCCTGCCTCGTAGTTTCCAGGAGATATGAAGCAATAGACCAGTAGTGCAGGAAGTTTATTCTGTGGCTTTGGTCCTTTCCAAGTCAGTGTTGACTTTACAGAAAATCTTCTAAAGCACTGTATTTAATGTTAATTAAATATCAAATATCCTGTTGGTAGCCCTGTTCATGGTTGTGAATTGCAGTTCTCTACATGTATGATTAGCTTTCTTACACCAGTTTTCCTTTGTTGTAAAGCTATGGTTGGTGACACACACCTGGAAGAGGGAGCCTGTTACACAGTCATCCTTCAAGCAGTGTAATAAAGTTCTATTGATACAATGTGTAGCTGCATTCCTGTGTGTGTGTGAGAAATCTAGTTTGGTGACCTGCAAGCAATGAAAGAAAACGTTGCTGAATATGCTGGTGTAATTTTTTAAGGTTTTTGTTGCTTATGTTCAGATTTAAAAAAAAAAGAAAAAAAGGTTGGGAGCCCCATGGCTGCTGAGCATTGGCTGAGAACTGTGCTCTGCTCCAGATGTGTGTGCTGAAACCTTATGGGCAGAATGTCATGAAGGCTCTGCTAGGGCATCTCTAACTCTCAAGTAAAGCTGGCAGGTTAAGCTCGAGAATTAAGCTCATATTGTGAGGTGGTGTTGGATTTGCTTAGTGAAATGTGGCTTTATGGATGTCCTGTCGGTGAGCTCCGCTGCTGCCATTGAGGATTCATGCTGGATTCATGTTGGGGTGTTCCAAAGCAAAGGATTTGCTGTCTCTGGGGTTGTGTCTGGCTTTCCTGGATGTGGATGCTGGATGTGGAAAATGCCTTGCATTGCTTTAAGGAAGAACAGGAAGAAAATCAAGTTTAATTTTACCTTTTCTTCTCCTTTCTTTTTCAGCCAGTACTGGCCACTGTTTGTTCTGTTTTTCTACATCCTTTCTCCTATCCCGTACTGCATAGCAAGAAGATTAGTAGATGACACAGATGCTGCAAGTAATGCCTGCAAGGAGCTAGCAATATTCCTTACAACAGGCATTGTTGTCTCAGCGTTTGGGCTACCCATAGTGTTTGCGAGAGCACAACTGGTTAGTAATATTTCAATCTGTGAAATATTTTTTCCTAAAATAATTGTGTTTTTTATGTTTTGTTGTTTTTTTTTTACTGAAGATAAAGCTCTCATGCACTGAGCAACTTGTATAAATACATTCTTAAGGTGCTTGCAGTGGAAACAATCAGAGTTCTTTTGGCAAGAAAAACTAAGACTAGAAACTGAAGTGTAGCAGA